TTTGAAGATGCATACATATACATATATATCAAGATCCTGTATTTTCCGGGATTTTTCATGACGTGAAAATTACCAGCATTTTTGTGCATATGCAAGAAGACTACCCTAATTTATTGTGAATATATGCCAAAGAATTGTTTGTAACTTTATCACTGATAGAAAGTAAATGTATTTGGAATATTATTTCATCATACCTGCTAGGTTCTAAGTTCATTTTTTTTCCTACAAAATTCAAGACATTGTCATTCCATTTAAAGAATAAGATTGATTTCTTATACAGTCAAATTTATGAGTTTAGATTGTCTCCTTATTTGACTATAAAGAAGTGCTGTAATTTCACTACGTGCACATTATGGAAACAGTCACCAAAATTTTGTTTTCCTTCATTCCTGCCTTTTTCTTTTTTTAAAAAATATTTTACTTTGTTTATTTTGCTTTATTTTGCTTTATTTTAGAAATAAGTAGGTATATTTTTGAAAGGTTTAAAAATTTTGGGAGAGAGACCTTTTTAGCAAGCCTTACTCTGCAAGAAATTATTATTTACTTTGTTCAAGAGAAGGGCAAGTTTTAAACTGACCTCCACCCTTTTGTATGGAGGTGTCATTTCAGATGATACAGGACTTTCTTGTTCAGCAGAAAATGGTACAGTGAGATGGTAGAAACAGGAAACTGAAGTTAAAAAAAATTATCACAGGTGAAGTAACTGATAAATGAAACAAGCTGATCTAAAGGCTTGTTTGAGTTTTTAACATCTCAATTTGATTCTAAATTCCTGCTCTAGCTGAACGAAAAGCTTGCTGCAGGGATTATCAGTAATGCTCTATGGCTTATGTTAAGAAGGGACTCAAATTAGCTGGAACATTAGCTGGAACTGCTCCTTCTGTTCTTAAAATCTCTGAATCATCCAAAAACTTTTTTACCAAACTCACAGAAGATAAGAGTGAAGACTACAAATATTTCTGAAGGGGAAAAAAGAGAAGCAAATAATCCCTCTAAAAAACCCACATATTTATGTGAGGATTTCAGCAATAACTTGAAAATATAAAGGACAGCCCAACTGTCAAGTTACTTCTAGACAGAAAAACCTGTAATGCCAGTAGCATTTCGGGCACATCCCTCTTTAAGTGCTGTTTTGTATCGTGTCAGCTTCCTTCCTGCCTTATTCACCCATCAACCTAATTTCTCACTCTTGCACTTCTTTTCATCACTTCCCTTATCATTCTGTTCTTTTGGGTTTGTTTTATTCTTTTGACATTATCAGGCCCAGTGAGAAGTGGTATTTCTCCCTGGCACTTCAAGGCAATTGCATATCCTTCCCCTGTGCACACAGCACAGGCAGGCAGGAGCAGAGTGGAGTCAGCAGGGAAAGACCCCAGACCTCGAGGGGATGGAGCAACCTAAACCCTGGCTGCCACTAACCATGCTTCAGCAGCAATCCTGTGTAGCTTTTGCTGCACTCAAGCAGTTCTTGCTCTTTGTGAGTGAAACTGTGGAAAAAAACACGTAGGAATGTAATCAGCAAAGTGGGCAAGCAAGGAAAGCGTGAACTGGATACCAACATGAGAAAAGCTCCTGCAGAAATGTGCTAAATGTGAAACACTTAAAAGTTTTTATGAGATACAGAGGCTGTAATGCTCATTTGAAAAGTAAGGAGTCGGGATAAAATTTGTTGCAAAAAGTTTGGTTTGCTGACAGACCTGATTGTGTTGATGTAACTCCCCCCAGTGACTTCAGCAGGCTTGTGGAGGGAGGGAGAGCAGGATTGAGCTGCAGATACGTCTGTCACTTGTTTTGTGTGCAGAGGGTTTTCCCACGTGGCTACACTCAGCAGCAGCTATGCACCCCAACCCATTTGGCTGCCCACAGCTGCAGGTTTATTCTTAGATTCAGGAATGTGAACCCTTGTGGACATGGTAATGGCCTCATGACAGCAAGGAGACAGGTTTTCCTCTCAAAATATTTCTTTTTGTGGACAGGTCAGTTTGTGGATGAGGTGGATATGGGAGGTTTAGTCACATCTGATTCCTGAACCACATTAGTCACCTGAGGTATCAAAAAGAGTTGCCAGAATGAACAGCTCTTGCTAGCTCTGTGAGATGTAACTACATGCAGTGCAGTGTGTTTCATTAAAAGCTCTGCTCCAGGCATGAGACTGAAGCACAAGGTAGAGCCAAGCTCCTTCTGCTCTGCAGCCCCGTGAGGGCAGTGAGAGGACAGCCCTGCAGGCTGGGCTGGCTGGCTGGGTGCTGTCCCCATGTGCTGGCAGAGAACTGCACCCCAGCCCACAGGCCACGGTGACCAGTGGTGATCATGATGCCATGAGACTTGCAGGCACACAGTCAACAAGACAAGGTGATGTGCTCTGTGGCTTTGTAAGATCTGATCTTTGTAAGATCAGGCCTCTCTATAGCCTCCTCTGCTTGCCAGAGCAAGTATTGGCTCCATGGCTAAGGCAAGGTTATCCAAATAAACTCCCGCAAACACAAGGACAATAAAAAGATCTCACACTTCTCCATCAACTAGGAGGGCAAAGCATGTTTCTTTGACACATTTATCCCAGAAAACACAGGAAAATATCCACACATATTCTAGAAAATTTCTCCCAGCCATTCCAGTGCATGAACATCTCTGAGAACAGGCACCCAAAATTATCCGGCTGTTACCTGGGAAAGAGTTCAGGTCTTAATGTAATAAATGAACAAGAACATAATTCAGGCAAGAACACCAAGGTTTCTATTTCTTCCAAACGTTGATGGATTATAGTTTGCCCATTTAGCCTTTAATATTTATTGCAATGATTCCGAGCATCCTGAGTGGTGCTAAACATCCTCCTATCCAATCTCCTTCCTTTGGACATTTGTCTCTTAAGTATGTGAAAACTTTTATCCTTTCTACCTACTAAGCCCTGCTTAGTCAACTATTCAGCTAAGTCATTACTAAGAATACTCTTCTATTTTTAACCTTCAATATTCTTAGGATTTCTTTAATCATTACAAGCTCCAGTTTGTGTCCTATGACAACATCATATTAAAATGATCTTCCTGCTCAGATCCTAATGCAGCACAACCAGCCACTGCTCAACTGAAGTCAATGAAGGGACACTGATTCATGAGATCTGTCTCTTCATTACCTTAAGTTCTGTTAACTGACCCTTCAGTGAAAATGAGAATAGGAAAGGTGAAAAAATCATATGGGAATAAGACAAAAAATATTATGAAGATAAACAGGTTTTCTACTTTGCTGAACACAAGTACCTTGCTCAAAAGACAATTTCCCTGGGGAAATTTGGATATGTCGATAGTGTTCAACCAGTTTCTAAATGAGCTGTAATATATGATAAATTTCTGTAACATTTGCACCAATTAATGATGCTATAAACAAGAATCTATTGCTTTTAAGAACTTAAACAAACTTCTTTTTGGTTAGGTGCCAAAATTTGGCTGACTTTTGTAGGTTAGAGGAATCAGTCAACCTTCTCAAGTAACATGGCTGAAAACAGTATCCTTTTTGAGACACAAAGCAACGCTATCTTCAAACAGCAGCAGAGCTCCATGCAAGCTCTTTGCTCTGTGATCTTTAAAGAGTTGAACATATCCTCTGTCAGAAGACAACAGACAACTCATTTGCCCATGAATCTGACATTGTGTAATATTATTAGGAGACTTTTTGCCAAGAAAGCTAGCAATAAATTGAATGTAATGAAATGGAAAGTCAAATATCTTAGGAATGATTTATATAGAGATAAGTCTGTTCTTTGGGGAAGGACAACGAACTGGTTTCTCAGACCAGTCTGACAGAGTCCATATCAAAAATCAAATAATCTAAGCCAAGCAAAGCATAGTACTGCCAGGGTAACAAAGGATGAGGAGAAAAGTAATAATTCATGGAAGTCTTAATGAAACAAGCAGATCAATCCATACACATAAGGTGCCTTCCACTGTTTCATATATTGTACCTCCAGTATTCCAGTAATACAGTGACAACAGACAGTGCAAACAAGAAATTTAGGGGGATAAAACTCTGTCTCTCTTGAAGTCAAAGCAAAACTTCACCATTTTCAGAATCAGGATTTCATCCTTGAGTGCTTTTATTTTCAAGTATTCACACTCAGCCTCTCTAATTGTCTGCTCTTAAAAAAAAAATTGTATTATCAGATTGAAAGAGAATCCCTAGCTTCACTGACTGCTTATCTATTTCAGAAACCTCCTAACAATAATAACTAAAATAATTACTTTGCTTGTTTCCATCATCATTGAGGGACTGTCTTCATACATTCTTCCTTCCATCTTCTCCCTCTGTCCACCCTGCACTAGCACTCTTTCATTGTTCATTCTGGTCAGGATTAATTTGAGGACTATTTCTTCTTCTTTCTCCTTCACTGACCCTGTTCAAGATGAAAGTGACTGTTTCTTCTAGTCAATAAAACAGCTCTTCAATACAAAAGAGCTTTTATTGTTTCACTCAGGTATGTCACTTGAAAAAGAAGAGGTATTGTCCAGGATACAAAATACATTCAAGACCTCCTTAACACTCAACACTACTCTTTCAATCCCTTTAGAGATATAGGCAAGCATATATCCCTAAAAAAGGCAGAAAAAAAATGTTTCCTAGTATTTGCAGGCTTTCAGAGGAAAGCCTGTCAAAATTCAAGGGAATCTGTCACCATAAATGATGGAATTCCAGAAGACAAGAGTGGGAATTAGCCTGACAAAACATCTACCTGTGTCAACAGAGAAACAAAGCTCCAGCAGACACTGATCCAGGCAAGTCAGCATCTGTGCTCCACCACCTCCCCCACCGACAGCTGAGCGTGCCTGCCATGCGTGTCTGCTTCTCCTCCACACCACTCAAGACTGCAGAGATCAGTGCTAGCGTGGCTCCCTGACAGCTCTGCCTAAGGACTTTCCTCCAAAAGCATGTACAGTGCTATAAATGCTTCACTCTCCCTCGCTGCAAATAGATAAAGATTTTATTTCTCCCAAGAAGACAATCTTACTTACTTGGGATAGCGTCTCTGCTGAAAGATGGGCAGAATCTCTGTATCTTGATTTGAATGCAGAAGCAGTAAATCCCGAAATCTCTCTGTCAGGACAAAGAAAAGAAAGAAGAAAAGAAAAAAAAAAAACAAACCCAGACTGTGACTCTGCATTATAAGTTCAGGCCACAAGTAAGCAAGCAGTAATATCAGTGAATTCTCTTCTCCAGCAATATTTAGCAGAGGACAAAACTAAGCGTGAGGGACTAAAAATCACTGTTTCCTGTAAAACCTTTTAATATTTTAAAATGTCTTTTTTTCGTAATTCAATACTGAATTCTAGTAGTACCTATAGGTTTCTGAGGTCTGCACAGAGGTCTTCTGGGTATCATGCACAGCCAACCATAAACAGTCCCTACCTTGAAGAGCCTGGTCTAAACAGAAAGGAGGAGCCCCTAAGAATTCACCAGCTACTCAAGGATCACAGTAGTCAAAACAAACATAGATTAATTCATTTGTAAAAATTAAACTGCAGTACAAATCCTTCGGTAACTGACTCAATGTTTTTAAGGATAATGGGAAGAGTGGATTGCTTTTTTGTCATTGTTACCTATTTCAAAAACTGCACGATAGAATTATCAGCAGGAGATAAAGCTTTTGTAACTTAATTTCACTGACCACCAAATGAAGGGGTGGTTGTAGTTTGCATAGCTGCCTTTCTCTTAAGCTTTTCTCTAGAGGTGGTTAGACACAGTCAGTCAAGTGGGATCTGTGGAGCTTCTATCAGTCCAGATTTCTCAGTCATGAAGGATTGAAACCTCCTCAAAATTCAGGGATAGAATAGGATTTCCACTCAGATCAAATTCCTTCAGTACATCCCATAGTTCTCCACAGCATGGGACATGCTCTGTTTCCTTAATTCCTTCCATCACCTGCAACTTTCACTGTCCTACAGTGGCACAGAACTGATGGCCTTTCCACTTCCTATCCTTCTTTCAGTAGTTAGTAACTCTGGCTGAAAGTCTTCAGCTACAGGTATTATCCTTCTTTTGCTAAACCTCAGTTTGTAGCCTGTGTACTGTGTGGCAGCTGTAGCACAGATTTCTCTAAACTAACTCTCTTCCATGAAAGTTTTCATTCTGGAAACTGAACCTTAAGGTAAATGTAGTCCTCCTGTTCTCAGATTCCTATGTGCCTCAAAATATCCTCTAACAACAAGTTTATGGATAACGAAATTACAGGACAAAAACCCATTTAATTTTATGTAATATTCTGTCATCAAAACGAAACTCTATTAATTTGAATAAAATTCTGCTTTGTAGCCTCTTAAGTGGAAAGAAACCCATCCAAACCGTACTTCATAAAGTAGTAATACCTTGAAAAAAGCACAGTTTTCCAGAAAGAAAACTTTCTTGTTAAGGCCTCAGTTTTAAAGGTCAACTGTCTCACACCTCTAGCCTTTTCTCAGCTGGCTAAGATGTATTGCAAACATCTTGGATAAGATACCAGGATCTGCCAGTGAAGAAAGAATGGCTCATCTTTGTTCTTTTATTTCTACATCTCTTCAATTCTGAAAGAAATAAGCACTCCTACCTCCAAAATTCTTCTTACAGCTTCAAAATGTAACTTAGTTTCCCTTTACCTAACTAGAACAAAGAGCAGATGTGGCCAAAAAGAAGTGCAATAAATGCAATACTATAAAGATGAAAGTTAAAGCCAATGAGTACCTTTCAGGAAACAGCCTGCTCACTGTCTTGAGGAAAATGCCATTACACTACTTCTTGACCTCAGCTTGAATTTTAAGGAAGATGGAGATATTTGCTTTTCTTTCAGTCTTCTGGTACATGGCAGTAGGCTGTACACCCACATGACCTATCATCCTTAAGGATGATACATTACCATCTTCAAAAGCCAATGGACAAGAACTGAAAGGCTTCAGAAAGTTTTCACTGATTAAAATATCCCCTCACTATGAGCTAGCACATTCACTTCCACCTCTGCTTCAGTAATCTCTCCACACAACCCAAGCTACGTTGCAATTCCAGACATCCTTTACAAAAGCCTTAATCCGAACAACAGCCTTTGTGTGTGCCTGGTGGAGGAATGGGAAGAAGTTTACAATGGCAAACACTGAGGACAGCACTTATTTCCATGGTTTGAGGGATTTTGATCTCTAGAACATGGTGTGAGACACCATGATTAGGGATCTTTGCGGTGGCACAGCTGATTTACTTTTGAGAGCCTGTAACCAGGGGTGACAGTGATGTAAAACAAAGAGAGACATGTTCTTCCTCAGCTCAATGCTGCACAACACCACATCACAGTAGGTGACTAAAGCTGGTTTCAGATCTTGGTAAAGATCTGTGACTCTCTGGGAGAGACAAAACACATCTGCGTGAGTGTGCAGATATGTCCTGCCCCATTGTTCCCTCTGAGATGGATATCACCCAGGCAGAGAGCCATACTCCATCTCTATCTCCTACTCTGTGACTTTTTCTTGTGCTGCTGCCCTTTCACATTGATCAAGGCCACCTGGCTGCACTCCAGTACTCAATTCAGAAAGCAGTGATCTTGAAAATATTTTGAATGGTAATGTGACAGGGCTGGCCAGTGCTGGAGCAAAAGCAGCCAAGTTATGGCATCTGAAATTGGCCTGAAAAGTTTTCCTACTAGATTTTGTTTTAGTTAAAGTCATCCTTCCCTGCCCCTCCCCCCCCAACTCTGGCAAATTTCCCAGGCAGATGTATTTTCTTTTCACCATATGACTTTACTCATTTTTCCATGTGGCATGGTTTAACCTCAGACAGCAACCAAGCCCCACACAGCTGCTCACTCACTCCCCCCATGGTGAGGGGGGAGAGAATCAGAGGAGTAAAAGCAAGAAAATTCATGGGTTGAGACAAAGACAGTTTATTAGGACAGACAAGGGAAGAAATGATAATCATGGCTGTAAAAATAAAAATAATTAGAATACACAAAACAAGTGATGCACAATGCAACTGGCTCTCATTTGCGAACCAATGCCCAGCCAGTTCCTGAGCAGAGGCTCCTGGCCAGCTTTCCTCACTGTTTATGCACTGAACATGATGCCATATGGTGCAGAATATCCCTATGACCAGTTGGGGTCAGCTGTGCCCCTCCCGACTCCTTATACCTTCCAGCCTTCTCATTGGCAGGGCATGTAAAGATGAAAAGTCCTTGTCTTAGCATAAAGGCTAGCTGGCAACAACTAAACATCAGTGTGTTATCAACATTATTCTCATCCTAAATCCAGAACACAGCACTGTACCAACTATTACTACAAAAACCAACTCTGTTCCAGCTGAAACCAGGACATCATAGAAATATGGTAGTGTTGCACCTCATCTCTACTCTACAGCTTCTCCCAGCACATTGACCTCCATGCCCTGTAAATCCTCTTAAGAGAAATGGCATGCAGGAATCTTTAGGACTGATTTGTCCCATGGGACCATTCTGGACTCATGTCACTTTTCAGGTCTATGACATTCTCCTATTGCATGTATGTGTGCATACAAAGTCACTCTAGTACAAATGACACTACTGCCTTTAAGGACCATCCATCGAGGTGCTGAGGGAAGTGACAAGAGCTTTGGGAGCTACTGACAGCACAGGTGCTTTCGGTGCTCTTACAAAAGTAAATATGAGAAGACTAATGCTTTACAAGAAAAGGCTTTTCAATTCACAAGAACAAAGTCACAACGATAGCTTCCCAAAGGGATAAGAATTTTTTCAGAAACCTAAGACCTTGTTCTAATTCATGCTACAACAAATGAAAGACTTGAGAACTAATGAAACCAATAATTATGGCATTTTTACATTATTTTAGTTTGCAATCAGTAGTTGATCAATAGAACTAAAACAAGTCACAATCTTTTCATTACTTGGATAATTTTAGAGATGTGTCTTCCAAAACTGAGTCCCTTTTCCTGTGATGCTTTTGTCTAGGTGTTGGTCTGATTCGTTAAAAAAAAAAAAAAAGAATAACATTTACTTAGCCAAGGTAGCTTACATCTAAAAACTGGCAATTATCTTCTCTGTTCCTCATTCTACTCAATTCTATTCTATTCTATACAATTTGCATGAGTTTAAGTCTGTACTAGCTACAGGATCGTTCACATTATTCTGAGAACAGCTATACCATTGATTGTTTTGTTGCTCTGCTGAGTGTTACATGTGACACTGCAGCCTGTCTCTGTGATGCTCCTGTAAGTGTGCCCACAGGACAAAGTTCCAAGAGACATCAAGAAGGGTTGCACAGTCACATCTTATGCTCAAACTTATGTTTTCATTAGGATGAGTGCCTCAGCTTCCCCCTGGCTTTCATTTTGAGTGTATAATTCCCTCCAAATCCTTCACCAGTGAGAAGCCCTTAGTTAAATCTAGGCAGTCTCATTGAGACCACACATGTTTAGCTAAACATGTAGCATAATCAGCTACCTGTGATGACGGGAGACTGGTTGTAATAACACAGTCTTATGCCCCGTCCTCCTAAATCAGGGAGGCTGCAGACTATAAAGGGAAAGTTTGCCATTGAAATCTTTATGGATTTAACATGTCCTATATATTTATACATCTTTCTTCCCTGTCCTTTATCTAATTTTTCTTCTCTCTATTCTACCTTCTGCTCCTCCTCCCCTTCCCAGCATAACATATTCAGAAGTCAGCTACTGGAATCTCAGTTATAAATGCCCCTCTATGGTAATACATGCTATGCCAAGCCAGTTAATCTACAAGGACAGAAGGATGCATTTCAAGAGAAATTTTCCCTTAAAATATTTAGATTAATGCAGTATTTGTTCTCAAAACAGAATGGGGTTATGCTCAGTATGGTGAGTTGACAGTAATGTCAGAAAAATAAGAGCAAGAATGGGCATATGGTCTGAAGGTCACTCAAACTGGTTACACAGTCAAGTTTCCTTCTTCCAGGATATATTATTACAGAAGTGGAAAGAGAGACAAAGGAAATTTTTGCAATATTTTAATATCTGGGGCTTCTCAAAGTGAAGAAAAATAGTTTGTATAGAAAGTCCCTGTGAGTTAAAACACATTATTATTCACATTCTGTAGACAGAAACACACTGTGGCA